CAATGAAAGTGTTTTTTGACCTTGCATGCATGTCAACCTGTTGTTGGGGACTTCCAAAACCAAAATATGAACCTTTCATAACTCATAATAGGGGCACTTTAAAAGCATGGCTGAAAACAGTGTTTGTTCAGTCGCACTTAAAACAGCAACATTCAGACGTTTTTAAGTGTGACTTAAGTGTCCAAACATTTTGGCACCACTTTAAATATTCATTACGTTTAAAGCAAACTAACAAAAGGCTGTTCTCTCAGCTTGACCTCTGAAGGGACTAGTTAACATTTACTCTGTCCTCCTGTTCTTCAGTCTCTCTCAGAGGACTCAGTTCACACAATTCTGCTGCGGTCTGGTTCTGGTTTGATAGATTGTGTGGAGTTTCTGCGGCCTCTCTCTGCATTCAGGATGAGACACGAGTTAAAAAACATCTGCAAAACATATCTTGCTTGCTTATAGATGAAATTACAGACGCTTGGCTGCGACACTTCTCAGTTCTCTTAGCATTACAGATTCATTCAAATAGAGCTGAAAAATGAACAAAACATTCTGTGTGAGGTTGAAACACACCATTTCCAAGATTACTACTATTTTGCAGATTTCCATCAACATTGGTGCACCACTATAAATTCAGTTTGGCACAAATTATGATAATTCACAGATTATCTCTGCTCTAATAAGACTCGACGGACCCACAGATAGTTAGGGTTATTTCTCCGTACGTCACACAGATACTTCACCCAACAATGAGCATTCTGTTATCATATACTCACCAAGATTATATTTTTCATTTTTCATAATTTGGTAACCAAACGTGGACCCTATTTACTTTGATTGTGTGACAAAAAATACTGATACATACTTCAAAATATCTTGTAAAGTCGTACAGATTTGAATCGACAAGGAGAGATAATAAAATTCAACATGTCTGAAAAATTCAAATACTGGAAAAATGTTATGTTGTTAATTTTTTGCTCATTAACTAAAACTAATTTAATCTATAATGCAGGTTTACTTACAAATCTCAAATTATATATAAGATCTGTTGGCTGTAAATCCCATATCAATCAGTATCAAATACATATCAAATCTTATATCAAACTTTAAATATATAATACTAACCTGAAAATGCTGCAGAAACTTTTTAATGTCTGTGTGAAGAACAGTGGAAAACATATTCAGTGAATCAATGTGAAATTAATCAGTCTCAGCTGAAGCAAATTCATTACACTCTATGGATTTAGAAAAGAAAGTGCTACTAGATAATCTACACCTTCAAAAAAGCTGAAGTGTGTAATTTCTGCACCTCTAGAAACAACAAAACAGAATTTACATTTCAAATGTTTCTCATTGCTTGTACAAAAAAATAATAAAAAGTCTATAAAACGCCAGATTTACAACAAATCAAGGCAAACATACAGAGACTGAACATCAGCCCATTATAGATTTCAAGGTTATTAACGGTGATGGTTTATAAAGATAAGTCTAGTTCATACTCACAAGGTTCGAAAATGATTAACAGCAGCACAGAAGAGACAAAGAGGCATTCGGAGGAGAAGACAACTTTTCTCAGATCCTCCATCGCACGCTCACCATTAACTGAGGATTCAAGATGTTACAGTGAGCACAAAGCTTGATCACTCTAAACCACACAAACTCCTCGATTTGTAAAGTGTGCTTGTTCTGTGATAACTCTGCGTTCACTTTAACTTTTCACATATTCTAGTGAAACACTCTGAGACCCCTGAAACAAAAAAAATCAAGTGTGAAAACCCACCAAGTGTTGAAGTTCCTGACACCGAGGTTTTGCAATGAGCTCAAATCACATCAACCTGATATGACGTCAGTCTTATAAAATGTGGAGATGGGAATATAATTTTAAAAGATGTAGCCCTAAATATTGTTTTGTTTATACTGTTGTTATCGCACACCTTGATTCACATTAAACTGATTCACTTCCTTTCAGTGTTCAGTGTGATGTTAAAAGGTTGTGTGTTAACTTACCCACTTTCATGATCAGTTCTGTCATCAGTGCAACAGAGTTCACTAGAACAACAGCAACAGATCCAATAAGGTAGACAACGTGTCTAAAAGGAAGATCTGGAAGGCAGATAAAAGTGTAAACAAATAAAACCGGTATAAAATTTAAAAAATGTTGCAATATTTTTTTTTAAAATGTAAATAAAGATATAATATAAATATAGAAAAAAGTACAGCATATTTTATACAACAGATCCAATAAGGTAGACAACGTGTCTAAAAGGAAGATCTGGAAGGCAGATAAAAGTGTAAACAAATAAAACCGGTATAAAATTTAAAAAATGTTGCAATATTTTTTTTAAAAATGTAAATAAAGATATAATGTAAATATAGAAAAAAGTACAGCATATTTTATAAACTTGCAGTGAATGGGTGCCGTCAGAATGAGAGTCCAAACAGCTCATAAAAACATCACAATAATCCACACCACTGCAGTCTTGTGAAGTGAAAAGCTGCGTGAATCCATCATTAAGACGTCTTTAACTTCAAACTGTTGCTTCCTTCTAAAATACAGGATTAAGCGTTATTATGGATTATAGACTCGTATTTTAGCCAGAAGCAACAGTTTGATGTTAAAACATCTTAAAGATGGATTTGTTTCTAATAAACACACAGCTTTTCATTTCACAAGACATTAACTGATGGACTGAAGTGGTGTGGATTA